TGCTGAAAATACTTGCTGTGCTGCCTCATTATATATGTCTGTCCCAACTGGAGAATGATATTACTTAGGGCTTAACTTTAAGTATTGACATTTAGTTTCCCATTTAAAATACTAATTTATTCTTGAATGTTAGAGCTGCACAGATTTTGTCTATGGCAGAGAAGTTCATTTTACTAGAGATGGATAAATTGTTTTCTTCCTCAGTTTGTTTTTATTGTTGTAAAGCCAAATGGGTTTTTCACTTGCCTGAAGAATGCCAGACCTGAAATACTGCATTCTTTGCCCCTGTCTGCAGGCCTGTAGTAAATATAGCACCTTTGGGTGAGGCCAATCAGCTGAGAATGAATAATCATTGAATTCATCTGGCTTTTGGCAGCAGTTTGTTCTTGGGATTATTTTTTTTTTTTAACTAAACATTGCAGATTCTTTTTCTGGAGCTCTTCAAATAGCTGTTTTACAGCTTTATAGCATTACCCTGTGTTGAGAACAGTAGACAGAAATCTCATGTTTTGGTAATGTTAGCTACCAGCAGGAAGACTTCTACTCATACGGGTTTTTTCCCTAATAAATGAGAAGATGAGTTAACTTGTTTGTTGTTAATTCGGGTGCTGGCAGTATAACTATTGTAGTGTGCTTTACTTGTGAAGCATTTTTCCTGTGGATGTAGCCACACAATAACCCCTTCTATGAGGGCAGGCTGACTCCAAGCTCTTGGTGTGTTTGACCCCGCTGTGAGGACGGCAGTGGCTGTTTGGGGAGGTTGCTGCACAGTGGGAATGAGTGACTGCAGGCAGTTGCCTCCTTAACTGTGAGCAATCTCGACGTGATCTCAGCTGATGGGTCTAACTGGTTGCCCTTTTTTTTCATCATTTCATTGCTCATTCTCTCCCCAGTGGAACCCTACAATGTCTGACTTATTAATGCTCAGGACTTTCTTTGAAGTCTTGTATGTAGTCAAGTACAAGACACTGAGCTAAATAATAGACTCGGCTTTGTGAGCTTTGTCCATTTTACAAGCAATCTTAAAAGAAGTCTGAGAGCAAACTTCCACACACCTCCTATGTCTCAGCAAGCTTAAAAGTCTTTACAAAAGTCAAAGAACTTGGCATTTAATCTCTTTTCCTGGTTTCCTATCTTGTAATGATACATAGCAAACCCAAGGAAATGCATATCCTTACCTAAAGAGACACCATTACCATTCACAGCCAGTGCTCCTTTGAACTGTGCTTTCAGATGGTTCTTTGACAGTCCGTGGGCTTTTCTAGGTGTCATATTTTTGTGTATTAGAATAAGGTGTAAAACTTAAAATACTTTTTCTAAATACTGATGTTTGTTTCCCTTTGCAGAAGAAGAGAGCGCATAGAGGCCGGCGGGACAAGAGCACAGGACAATGCTGCTGAAAGGAATCTGAGCCACAGAGCATGCTTTGTGCCACAGCTACCCAGGTATGCTCCTGCAGAGGACTTTGTGCACCTCTAACGAACCGCAGTTCGTTGTGCAGGTCGCTCCATTACTTGTCATCCTGAGCCAAGGAGTCTGTCTTGGCCTCACACCAAAATGATGTTCTGCGTTCTTCATTCCATCTGGATGGCCCTTGCAGTCTGAAACCTCCTAAAGCCTTTTATGTGTGTGTTAGTTTTAATTTTATCCAATTGCTAAACTTCAGCTGGTCTCTCTTATAATGTTGCACTGGTTTCTGTCATGAAGTAGGCTGAGCATTTTAGTGTATGTTTTCAGAAGTGTTTCTCTTTTATGCACAGAGATGTGGCTTAAATAAATGAGGTGCTGAACTACGTATCTGGAAGTAGTTTTGAGACTGACTCCAGACTGTTAGAAACTGCTCCAGGTGACTCACCTGCAGATGATCTGCTGGGTTTCAGAAGTCAAAAGCAGATGGGTAGAGGCATCTGTCATTGCTTTGCACACCGGTGACTTAACGAACCAATGCCATTTTTTCAGGATGTTTTGATAGGAAATGTGAAACTTTCTGATGCTTCTTTTTATTATAAATAAAATTTTGGGGATGAATATTTAAAATCTTCAATGAAGTACAGCTCAGTTCTGTGCTAATTATATGCTTATGCTAAAGAGAGCTCTTAAGGAGGTAAAGATCTGCCTTACGTGATGGAGTCAAGGATCTTTCAAAAGCCATTCTGTGGCCTGGAAGCCATCACAGTCCAAGAGCGTTAGCTGTCTAATAGCTCTGAGACATAAATAAGTGAATAATTTAAAAATCATATGATTGTGAAGTGTTTCTGTGAAATAGAAGCTAGCCTTTCCACTAGCACCAGCTGGCAAGTGGGAGTGGAGAAACAAAGCAAACAAACAGCAGAGAAAAGTAGGAGGAACAATGGTGATAGTCTAAAAACTGACACATCAGGAGAGCAGCATGAGGAATAACAAACTCCTGTCACAGGATGTTTTGCATAGCAACAGGACTCTTGTCTTCAAGTGGACTTTAGTGTAACTGCAGCACTTGCTTCCTGTATGAGATAAAGAGCTGTTGTACTCTGAATTTGTTTTAATCTCTATATCTAAATTGGACTAATAATTACAAAGAATTAGCTGAAGGAAACAATAGTGAAGTCTATTGCTCCTGAAAGTGTTTCCTCTTATTTTACTGTCAGAGAAGTGAGGACAGAAACGTGCGTAAAGGAAACAGATTAAAGATGAACCTTTTCACCAGGTGCTGAATGCTGTCTACGAACTCCTTTGTCGATGAAGGAACAAGTTGATTGGAAATTGAAAGCGCGAGCTACTTCCTAATTCTGTTCAACATGCGCAAAGGGGTGCCAAAGGACCCAGAAATAGCTGACCTGTTCTACAAAGATGATCCTGAAGAAATCTTTGTGGGTTTACACGAAATTGGACATGGAAGTTTTGGAGCAGTTTACTTTGTAAGTTACCTCCTTCTGGGAAAACAAAACCTTTTTAAGTGACGTTTGATTTTCAGCATTTTTTAAAAGTCAGTGTCCTTTGAACTCTTAGTGCTTTGTGTGTATTAGATTTTCATAACACATCTCAAAAAGACACGTTTGCAGAGCACTCCTGAGCTCTTTGCTGTTACAGCTGTATTTATAGTAGCAGTTGACTATGGTCTTAATAGTGCACCCAAGCATTCAGGTTAAGTATATGCTGTCTGATGCTTAAAGTTGAATGTAAGCAGTTGGAAATTAATTTGCCAAACTGGAATTTCAAGATGCTCTACTTGGTGCTCTAATGCTTGTAAATCATTGCAAATTAATAGATCTAGTGAATTAATGATTCAAAATGCGTTTGGAGTTAAAAGCTACTTTGGGTAATGAATTGGTATTGTGGCTGTTTGGTGCGGCTTCCACGGTACCTGGACACAAATTGCATTCAGGCTTTTGAATGATTTCTCTACTGCGCTGATAATTTAGAAGTTAGAGATATCTTTGAAATACTGTTTTGTTTTGCCCTCCTCCTTGTCCCCATATTCGTCTCATAACGTACTGTCATCATAGCAAATGCTTACATGGCAAAAGCAAAGAGAAAGTCATAAGAGGAATGAGAATTCAAGCAGGAAGGATGGATTGCATTAATCGATACTGGCCAGAATGTATCAAGTTCCATTCAATGAAACTGAAGTAGGATTCACTGCAAAAAAATCAAAGACAAATTAAAGCTCCTTGGTAGCATGGCCTGCCACTCCACAAGATCAAGTTCTCTAGAACTGAGATTTCTGAGTATCAGACATAACGCAGATGAATACCCTCACACCTCTAGCTCCAGAACCTGGCAGTAGCTAACATGAATTGTTTGCAAGCGCTCCAGTTCACTGCTTACAACTGTGTGCGGTGATGGAGGTGTTGGTGTAACTGTTGTTAGAACAGGAGAGGAGCCTGGTCTGCCGTGGGGATCGGCAGCAGTGGGACAAGCTCTTCTACGTGTTGGAGTCAGTAGAAGGGTCAGTGAAAGTCTATCATTTAAGTTATTTCAGCCAGGAGGATCCCGAGCACTTGGTACAGCAAGAACTTCACCCACAGCTGTGAGCACGTGGCAGTGTGGCACTCGACCGAAGACTGCAGCTGCAATGAGAGATAGCATGTTCACGTGAAGATACTTGGAATTCATGGAGCAGGCAGAAATACTTGAATATTTCTTTAGAACACCAGCATTAATTCGTCTGTTTGAGTAAAATACTCCTGATCTTTTGTGTGCTGCATCAGGACAGTGAGTGGTTAGGAAGGGTTTTGCCTTATCCAAAAGTTGTTTTCAGCTTTTCCTAACTCATTTGACGAGGACTGTATGTCCCTTTTAGTAATTCCTGTGCTCTGTTGGTTCACCCAACCTCATTTTTCTTTGAAGTAACTGTATACATCATGAAATGTCTTTCATTAATACATTACTTGGAAGTGTAGTACTCATCCTCTCAAGCAGTTGAAAGAAGGATTTACCACATTTAGCTTCTATTGTATTCTAAGCTTTTAACTGTCACTAATTTTTTGTCCCCAAAATGGTAAATGGTTGGAGGTACTGGGATTTCAGCAACTCTTTTAATACTAAAACCTTCACGTTTTCTGTCCTTAAAACGCAGAAATGAGGGCAGTGTCAATCCAGGCAAGTAGAGCTCTTTCTAAAACTGAGTTTTCAGCCTCCAGTTGCCATCCTTGTCTCATACAGGCTGCTGAAAAGTAGAATTTTGATGACTGAATAATATTCATTGCAAAACTGAGATGTGGTGCAGTGAAAGGAAGGTTGCTTTTTTTAATTGAGATAAATTCCTGAATGAAGCATCATCTTGAAACTGGAAATGGAAATAGCTGTTTAAGAATATCTGTGTTGTATGGGGGTATTGGATGAAACTATAGAGATTTTCATACACCTCTGTATTTGTTTCTTTGGAAGCATTTTTCCAAAGGTTTGTCTAAAACTGTTTTTATTGCAGTTCCACTCAAACTAGATTTTGCATGTTTTTAGTAGATGCAATGCTGGGCCTTGGTTTGTGTATCAGTAGAGAGGTGATAAGTGCAGTAGGGGCTGAGGGAGGAATGTTGGATATGGACAGATAGATGAAGTCAGGAAAAAGTGTCATCATAGTTTTTTGGTAAACCTTATCACAAGGAAGATGTCTGTGAAGTGCAGGAGCTTGCAAGGATGTGATATAGAAGAAAAAAGCCTGCGTTTGCCAAAGGCACAGCTCACTCCGTGGGGAGGATAAAAAAAAGGAAACTTATTTTCAATCTATTTCTTTCTCCATACCCCAGGCTACAAATTCCCACACTAATGAGGTGGTGGCAGTCAAGAAAATGTCCTATAGTGGAAAGCAAACGAATGAGGTAAGATGAATAAAGCCAATTCTGCATGCAGAAGCTGTTACAACCATAATGTAAACCTGAACAGTGAAATTAGCTGCATATTTCATTTGACCCTCACAGACCAGCTTTTTGATTCGGTAGCTGTTGCTCACTTCTGTAGTTTGTGGAGGGAAAGTGAGCTTATGCAAATTTTGACAAATGGTTCAGTTTAAGGAAGGGAACGGGAATTCAGAATGCTTGTTTGGTGGTTATTTCAGTAATAAGTGCATTAAGAGCACATTGGCTACTGAAGCCATAACCACAACTCTTGGAGGTCTTGACTGAAATGTGTAGCTGACTTGAAACACTTTACAGGTTCTGTAACCTAAAATTGGATAGACCTTGTAGCCAGAATATCAGTCTTGCTTCAATTGGTGCTTGTTATTTGCTCCTCTTATCTTTGTATTCTGGTGCTTTGTGCTTGGATTGACTCTTCCTTTGGGTTGATGCATTGGCGTGCAGTGGAGACTGTGTTTGTCTGTTAAGAGCAAACAGGGATGTTTTAGACTCATTTTTCCTTGCTTACCTGTTGGTCTCCCACAAGTGCTGAGGTCTTCCAAATGTCCCTGGCTTTGTGGTGTTACAGAAAGAAGCAAAGAGCCAACTGCTGCTGTCTCTGCACAAATTATAGGTGGTGTCCCTTGGGGCAGGTGGGTTTGTTACTAAGTTTGAGACCACGAGGCAGTTCAATCTGCTAAACAGTAGCAATGCTTTAAGTAAAATGTGTTGCAGTTAAAATGAGGAAAAAAAATATTTTTGCAATCCTCAAGCTGTTTAAATATGTCTTGAGGGGACCTTAGTGCAATGGGGATCCAGACAACTGATGTACAACTGTGCTTTTGCAACTATGATTCTTGCCATCTTCACATTGTAAATTAGTTTTAGGGTTGCTTTTCAGACTGTACTACAGTGTGTGGTGTATGAGAGTATGTAGGGTAGAGCAGAGAAATGTATTTATATTTTTTTGCTTGTTTTTAATTAGAAATGGCAGGATATCATCAAAGAAGTCAAGTTTCTACAACAGCTGAAGCACCCCAACACCATAGAGTACAAGGGCTGTTACCTGAAAGAGCATACAGCGTGGGTGAGTGAGTGATGTGGCATTTGGGGGTCTTCATGAGCAGAAGACGTACAGCAATCAAATATTCAGTACATGCAGTGTATTTATGTGCAGCAGTATTCATCCCATGCTGCCTGTAGTCCCTTTTATCTGAGGAAGCTTCCAGGTAATTTAAAGGGAATAATTATTAGGATACTGGAGCAAACCTCTGCTTCTCTGAGGCAGGCTTCTGTTCGCTCAGAGTAAACAGTTATTATGGAACATCCTCCACAGCATCTCCCCACGAACTTCTCGGTGCCTAAACCTTTAACCATGGAAGATGTCTTGATGTTGCTGGAGAATTTTATTTTGTTAATCACTTGCTGCATTTCTTGCAACTTCAGGTTTTATTGGCTTCTATTGTTTTTCAGCCATTCAAGAAGTAACTCTTTTGGGGGGAGTGTCCGCCCTAGTATTTAAAAGCATGCTTTTCTTTTTGCAGTTGGTTATGGAGTACTGTTTAGGATCAGCTTCAGATTTGCTAGAGGGTAAGTTTTATTTAGTCTTTGACTTTCTTTTTCCTAGTGCCCCCTCTGAGTACAGTGGGAGGCTGTTTTCTCACAGACTGGGATTTTGCAGATGGTAAAGGTGGTCTATCTATGCTACTCCGTTCTGTAGTTAGGGTGCCTGGGTTTGTGATACCAAGGGTAAGCTGAGATTTTCACAGGAGGCCAGTGCTACGTACAGTTGACCTGCACCTTTATGTGTTGTAAAATGAAGGTTTAATTTTATGTATCTGTGTTCCTGTAATTTGTGCCTTCTTGATGACTGAAACAGACTGCCTGTTTTTGAATATTCATAACAAAATCCTGCAGAGAACCACCTTTGTCATTGCCTTGCAGTTTGTTGGAATAATTACAGATGGTTTTATAGAACAAGAGATTTATATGACATCCAAACTAGAACAGCAGCACCTGCACAGGAATAGGGATTCTAAGCCAAAGTTTGCAAAAACTAGTACTCTGTATGGGCCATATCTTTTGTATCTAAGGTACAGTCATCCAAAGGCACATGCTGGTTGTATTTAGGGATATATGGAAGGTGCTTTGAGGCATCTCTTTGTTGCTGGTATTTCTAATTTTCCTGGTTTTTTGCTATTGGAGAGAAAAGTCAGGAGTCTTCCTTGCTGAGGACCAAATGAGTATTTCAAATACACTTAGCATGTATCTCCTGGTGTTACCAGTAACTGTTGGTGCTAGCAGGTATGTGAAGAAAAATGTGGTTTCCTATGATGTGAAATACATACACGGGCTAAGCATAGACTCAGAGCTGCTAATGGCCATGAGGCCGCAGGAAGCTGTTACGGTGAAGATGATGTTCACCTCACAGCTGGCAAAACTGGTGTGGTTCTTTCTCTTTAAAAACACTTTCTCAGGAGAAGATCGCACTTCCCTTCTTACTTTTTTTTATTGGGTTGTTGTTTTTTTTTTCTGTAGTTCACAAGAAACCACTTCAGGAAGTGGAGATTGCTGCCATCACCCACGGTGCCTTGCAGGGGCTGGCCTACCTGCACTCTCACTGTAGGATTCATAGGTAAGGCTGGAGCTTGGTGCTGCTAGATGCCCTTCTGTCTTTCATTCACTGGAGTCTGAAAATTGCTTTGCTGTGTTTTAAGCAACTTTAGGAAAAGCCATTCTACTAAAATTTTCTGTACTGGATGTGTCTACTGCCAAGGTAGATGAAGAAATAAAAGCTGTTGGCTGTAAAGGAGTGCGGTTTTTTTGGTCAAAATAATTTCACGTGGCTATGTCCTGTATTGAATTCTTTTGCGTGTTAAGCAGTTTTTCTCTGCAGACCCTGGTAACAAAGAACACACCTGAATGTTGGCAGTAAATGCTGACAGGAAAATATCACAGAATATTAGGAGTTGGAAGG